GGGCCAGGGGCCATGAGCAGTGGTAGAGATGGTGACCCAAAAGCCCTTTCCTGTAGGCTGGGAGCAGCGGGAGGGATGGTGGCCGGGAAGCCCCTTCCTCTGGACCAGGAGCAGTGGGATGGTGGCTCAGAAGCCCCTCCCTCTGGGCCAGGAGTGGTGGGAGGGATGGTGGCCTGGAAGTCCCTTCCTCTGGGCCAGGAGCAGTGGGACAAAAGGTGGCCCAAAAGCCATTTCCTCTGGGCTGGGAGCAGCGGGAGGGATGGTGACTGGGAAGCCACTTCCTCTGGACCAGGAGCAGTGGGACGACGGCTCAGAAGCCCCTACGTCTGGGCCGGGAACAGCAGGACTCAGTACCTTGGTCTGGTGGTCTGGTGTCTTCTGTGTCTTTGTAGTGTGGAACCAGGTGGCTGCCTGTCTGCAGCGGGGTGATTCAGTGTCTTCCGTGCGACTCAGGACCTCGGTAGGGCATGCACAGACCTTCCTGTGTGCAGCGGGCTTATTTGGCATATTCCAGGCAACTGGGGACCTCAGTAGGGCATGAGCAAACCTGCCTGTCTGCAGCGGGCTGATTCAGCATGTTCTGTGCGACTCAGGACCTTGGTAGGGCTTGCACAGACCTGCCTCTGTCAGTGTGCTTTCTTCAGTACTTACTGTGCTTTTCAAAATCACAGTAGTAATTTTACTTTGAGGTCCTCATTTTAGCCCGGCAGCTTGACAGGAAGCTCAGCACACAATCATGTTCTAGGGCACCTACTTGGTTTATACAAGAAGGTTTTTCTCTACAGCGTGTTTAGGAGCCACAATTTTCATATTGGGAGATTTCACATAAAACATTCAGATTTCTAGCTTGTCCTGAGAAGTCAGAAGCCCTGGCCTGTCCTCTCAAAAATACACACCAGCTGAAGGCATCTACCCTTGAGGTGGAGGGGTGTCCCTCAGGTGACCGTGGTTGCTGACACCCCTGCCACCAACTGACATGAGGCCAAATGCCAGCTGCCACTTGTCACCAAACTTTTGCTCTTTTTATCATTGTCATGGCCGAATGAAGAGACTGAGAAATATTTCTCCTGCCTGGATGGCTCTACTCACCTGTGTTTTCTGCCTGGCCTTTAGGGACATTTGAGTTGGCAGTCTTGTTTTATGAAAAGGAAAGAGAGACACAAAAGCCATTCAAAATAAGCTCCAAACACTGCTCATTTCTAATAAAACATTTTGCTACTACCAAATGCCCTTCACACACAACTTGTTAAGGGTTCATTTCTTGCTGAAGATTTGCATTGGCCAAGGATTGTAAATTTAAAAAACATTGTGCCTGCAATTGCAATAGAGCCCACCAGCAGGGCCCCTTGCTAAGTGAGTGTTGTATACTAATCGCAGGCCAGACAGAAAATGTTCTTCCTCCACCAGCTCAGACTAAGTTTGAGACAAAACCAGGAGCAGGGGGCTAAAAGGAAAATCCATCCCTACCTGCAACAAACTCCACGACAGAGGCAGGGTGGGAATCTGAGATAGCGTTTGCATCACAAGGAGGTCAGCGAACCAGATAGAATGTATAAACACCACAGGCTCAGTCAGCCAGCAAGAAACATTTGGAAGACTTTTAATTGGAAGCCATTTGGCTCGAAGGTGGTTCATCAAATCTAAAATTTTAGCAAAGCACAGCTGCATTTGGTGGAATTCTATTAACCTTTTCCCTGAAACTGTATTTGCTGTAATTGCCAATCATCATTTCTTCTTTTAAAAAAAAATTTTTGGGGCCAAGTTGTCCAGAATGTTCTCTCACTCCATTATAATTGCTGGAGGAAATCCCCATTAATCTAGTGAGGAGGAAGACTGGGATTGTACCACGGAAGGGTTGAGCCCACAAACATCCTGCTGACGTCATATACGGACTTTATGTCTCTTTCCTAAAAAAGAACAAAGAGAAGTAAACAGCCTATACCCTGCAAAATAGTCTTTATACCCAGCATGGCTGCAGGCTCCCTTCCAGTTCCCTGTCCTTTGGTTTGAGGGATGAAACCTTGTGAATTTACTGCGGCTCACATGCAGACACCAAGAAGCTACGTAAAAAGAAGTTTCTCAAAATATGGAAACTACCCCAAATCGGAAAGGCCATATGCTGGCCTACTGTGTGCCAAGCATCGTGTTCCTCCAGGATGACACAAATCCAAAGCTCCCACTGCATGCTGGAGTGAGCTCTTGGCTTCTCCTGCTGAATCCATGTTCACAGACAGCACATAAGAGCTTGCAATGGTCCACCAGGGCACCATGGTAGTAGTCACACCCAGAAACTGGTGAATGCCACCCACCAGGGCCTTTCCCCAGAGAGCTGTTCACATGGTCACCAGCACCACTCCTACCTCTGTCCTCTGTGCCCCACTCCTGCCTTCCTGCTCCTCCAGGGCCATGCCAGTGGCCTTCCTCTACAACCAGCTGCATCTCCCTTCTCACCTCCCCAAAACCTGTTCTCTCCTCTGTTCAGACTTCAGTGACATTTCCATCCTCTAATGGTGGCCTTCTCTGACCACCCCCATTCTACTGTGGTGCCCCCTTATCTCATGTCACCCAATCTTGCTGGCTCCACTGGAACCCCCACTGCCTGAAAATACCCCACTTATGTAACTGTGCATTCTCCCCCCCCCCGCCTCCCTCCTTATCTCCCTCCTTCCCTCTCTCTCTTTCTTTCTCCAGGACCTAAATTTTCCAAGAGACTTTTGTTCTGCAGAACTCTCCATATCTTAAACAGTTCCTGGCACCAAACAAATCTCTTTTCAATAAATAGATGAATCCATATGATAAGTAAGACACAGTAACCATATCAGGTCTCTTCTTCCAATGGTCAGAATGAAAGCCAGGGCATTACAATATGTTTCAAGCTCTAAAATCAAACAACTTCCAACCCAGACTAAAATATGTAGCCTGAAAAATTATCTTTCAAAATTTATGGAGAAATAAGGACATTCTGTGACAAAGAACAACTTAAGAGATACATGAACACCAAGCCACCACTGAAACAAAATACTGAGGAATAGAAGAGTCAATGAAGCCAATAAAGCCAAAAAATCTAATGGAATGAATGTATCAAGCAAGGCAAATAGTTAAACAAAAAAAAGAGGAAAAATAAAGGAGTTATCAACAAAACACACACACACACACACACACACACAATATGACAGAAATAAGTAATACTTCTCAGTAATAACTCTCCATGAAAATGGCCTCAACTTTCCAGTTAAAAGACACAGAGTGTCAGACTCCATCAAAAAATAGAATCCACCAGTCCACTGCATTCAAGAAACTCATCTAATTCAAAAAGAGGTTCATAGACTAAAAATCAAACAGGTTCAAACCCAGCCTCTGCTGTGTGCTTCTGTAAAGTGCTCCTCCCCACTGTGCCTCAGTTTCTACCTTGGAAAAGCACAGATAAGCAGATGCCACAGAGCTGCTGAAGATGACAGGCGCACACACAGAACAGCACCGTGTGTGTCTGGAATGTACCAGAGTGGGCTGCGTTGGCTGTCACTGCCATTGTCACTCTGCTGACATCCAAAGCCCCACCCTCGTGCTCACACTTGTCCTTCCAATGCCTCCCCCGGCAAGTGCGGGTCCCTACTGTGGCGCCTACCTGAAGGTGATAGCATAGGAGTCCTCCAGCCCTTCATGCTTCTTTTCCCGCTTCCGGATGAGGAAGGCTCCATCTCGGGGAATCCGCATCAGCATGTCCTCCGCCTCTCCATGGCTCAGCCCGTCATAGTACCACCTGCACCCGGGCAGGAAAACAGCCAGGTAAGAGCCCTCGAGGCTGTCAGGAGCCACTGCAGGACACAGAACAGCGGGCTCCAGGGATAACTGGGACTGGGTCCTGGAAACAGCCATAGAAGCCAGCTGCAGACCTGCCCAGCTGTGAGCACCTCCAGAGACGGTGGTTTCTGAAAAGAACACTAGGAGACCAAGTGGATCTGGGCAGAGCGCAGAGAATAAATCTCCACACCCTCACCCACCTGTGCCACCAGTGCCTTGCAGGCCACCTCTGAAGGGCCTATTTCCACCTCTGGGGAAATGGAGGTGAACACAGGCAAGTTTAGGAGGCATTTTTTGTTGTTGTGTTTAGTTATTAAAACATAAAATAGCACATTTTTACCAATCCATATGAAAATATTTAAAAAGTTGCTGCAAGTCATTTGGCTTCGTTCAAAATATAAATTTTAGTGATCTGCTTAAAAATTCTTCCTTCATTTCCACAATGTATTGACCTTCTGCAAAGCATAACTTGGCTCACTTTTCTGCATAAAGAAATAAAGGGAATGGGCCGGGGATTTAGCTCAGTGGTTTTGCTGCCTGCCTAGCAAGCTCAAGGACCCGAGTTTGATCCCTGGTACCAAAAAGAAAAAAGAAAAAAGAAAAAAAGGGAATACTCTTGCCATCATTTTCTTTTCATTTTTCTCCATCAACTAAATAGGAAAGGGCTTGGATAAGCAGTAAGATATCACAGGGCCAATACTAAACTCTGAATCTCAAGCATGAGACCTCGGGATCGTGAACACAAAGCCAGAAGGGAAGGAGGGAGGAAAGGAAAGGAGAAAAGGAAAGAGAAAGGCAGGCAAAGCTAATGGAGAGCAAGAATCTGCCGAGGGGCCACCCAGGACCTCTGAGCCTCTGGTGGGCCAGGGCCAGGGACAAGGGGACAGGGATGTGACCGTGTGGGTGTCTGCCTCCCGCCCAGCCCAGGGACGTATGGCTTGGACTCATGTGGGTTGGGGTTCGGCACCGGGTCGGTCAGCCGCAGCTCAAACTCGGCACAGCGCAGGTGCGACTCTCGGTAGTGCTGGATGAGGTCGTAGATGCTGCTGAACTTGAGGTTGTCGGTCAGGTAGTACTTCATGGCGCCATTCTCCAAGGTGGAGCGGATCAGGCAGTGCTGCACACGGCCCGACCGCCTGCAGGACAGGGCCGCTGTCAGAGATGAGGCCAGGTGCAGCCAGGTGGACACCACCCCCCGCCACCCGCCTCCCCATGACCGCTCCAGGGCAGGAGGGCGTCACCAGAAGGACAGGGTGTAGGCGTCGGGGTGGCTCTCGCTCTCCCGCACCAGGAAGGTGCCGTCCTTGGCACCCGCCTCGGCACAGTACTCCTGCAGCAGCTTCTCCGCGTTCGTCCTCTTCTCCATCTTCTTGTGGAACCATTTCTCCCTCAAATGCAGCTCCATGGGTGGAAGGTCCTGGGCCACGGACAGAAAGGGGGCTTCTGAGAGCTCCTGCTGCCTCCCCTGCCCACCACCTTCTCCGGACAGCTACTGCTGTGGGGGCCTCCTGGCGTCCTGAGACTCCCTGACCTCCATGGTCGATGGCGCTGGAGAGAGCATCCACGTGACCCTGTCCTTCCCAGGTTACACAGGCCACAACCTAAGGCCAGTCAGGCCCTGCAGGAAAGAGCCTGGACTCTTACTGGCTAGGTACCAAGAGCAGCCAGCCAATCAGAGAAGAGCCAGCCAGGCCCTGGTACCCAAAGAGGTAGCTGTTAGGGCTGAGGATCCCCATGCCAGCCTTAGGACAGGAGGAGCTGAACAGGAGGTCTGAGGCCCTGAGGACCACCCTAGCTCAAAGAGGCAAGAGCAGCTGGTCCCACTTACCTGGGACAGTTCCTCCTCCGCGGCCTGCTCAATGTCGTCACTGAAGGACAGCTTGGCGTCAGCAATGGCGCAGTAGTGCCGAGTCCACTTCTAGAGAGCAAAGCTGCATTAGTCTCCCCCAAAGTCAGCCACATCACCTCAGGCTGGGGGATCCCGCAGGGCATCACCCCAGCATGCACTGGGGATTCCCCTTTCCCAGATTCATGCACTTAGCGATTTCATGGAATTTGTTCCCTTTTGAGAGATATTTTTAAAACACTTATTTTTTGGCTCCTTTTGTTATTTGGGGACTTTTTTTTTTTGGTACCAAGGATCGAACTTGGGACCTTGTGCTTGCAAGGCAGGTGATGGCACCACTGAGCTAAATACCCAGCCTCTGGGACTTTTAAAATCAGTGTGTCTAGGAACAAACACAACCTAATTCTGAATTTCCACTGCATATTTAATTTGCAGCCCTTTATGAGGGATGGACTTACTTGGGGCACTCTCCTAACTATCTTTTCCTATTTCATCTGCTTTTTTTTTCCCTTGGGGAAATAAGTTTTATTTTTAAAAACTGATATAAAAATTGTATATATTTACCGTGAACAACTTGATGTTTTCAAATATATACACACTATGATGGCTAGTCAAGCTAATTAGCATATGCATAACCTTGCATAGTTAATATTCTTTGTGGCAAGAGTCATTATCTACTTTCTTGGCAATTTTCAAATATGCAACACATGTTGATATTAACATATAGTTGCTATGTTGTACAGCAAAGGAAATTGTATTCTTTCACAAACATTTTACCGATCTCTATTCCTTCTCCATCCCAGTCCCTGGTAACTTACTATTCTATTCCGCTTCTTTGGGTTCAACTTCTTTAGATTCCATATATATGTGAGATTGCATGGTATTTATTTTTTGTGCTTGATGTATTTCATTTAGCTTAATGGCCTCCAGGTTCAATCTTCTGTTGATTATTTATTTAGATCTTTCATCTTGATGTGTATTCAGATTTTTTTTGGTGGAAATGTTGGTACTCTGCCACGGAGCTATGGGCCAGCCCATCCTATTTTCTTTTAAGACAGTGTCTTGTTAAGTTGCCCAGGTACTTGTGATCCTCCTGATTCGGTCTCCCAAAGTGCTGGGATTACAGGCATGCACCAGCACACCAAGCTGAGAATTTAACTCTAACCCCTTCACCTAACTGATAGGCTCCAGCCCAAATCCTACCAAAATAATAATAATAGTTAAGCTTTTAGATGCCTGAGCAGGTTTTTTTCCCCACCACAATAGCCCTGACTATAGCTAATTATTCTTGAAGTGTAGTTTGCTTTGTCTTTGTTGTTGTTGTTGTTATCCTTTGGAAATTCCTTTTGCCAAAGAAACAGGAGCGTAGCATTGCCTGATCCACTGAAGTGGCTGCTTCCCAGTGTCGGTGCCTGGTTTTCCCACTATTAACAGGTGAGGGAAACCTCGCACTGAAGTCCAGCAGGTCGCTCAGCTCCTGGTCGGTGCCTATCCCGCGCGGCCATGCGCTGCGGTTGGGGTTCATCTTCGGCCCCTTCTAGCAGGACCAGCCTCTGGCTCCAGCGAAAGTTCCCTCGGGCCACGCGCAGGCGGGCTCGGCGGCCGCCTTCCTCCGGGCTGGCTGCGGTCCCCCCACAGAACTTGTGGGTCTCCTCAGGCGGACATTTTTTTTTTTGCTGAGGGGCCTCAGCACCGCGCTCCGTTCACCCCTTCACCTACTTTCTTAAAGACTTTCTGGAATTTTCAGCCAGTTGGTCTCAAAGACTTTCTGAAACATTTAATTATGACCTAATTATTTACTTAAATGTTAATCATTTTTGCATATATATATATATATATACATATATATAGTATTGTTTTGTTTTGTTTTGTTTTTGTTACTGGGGATCAAACTCAGGTTCCTGCACTCATGAGGCAGACGGTGGAACCACTAAGCTAAATTCCCGGCCCTTATTGTTATATTTTTTATTCAGGATGTAAGAACAGACATGTAAAAATGTACTCAAATGGATTAGCATGTTAGGCTAAGGGATATGAGAAGGCACTAGAGCTTGAAATGCCTTTCTCTCATCAGAAACGAAGATTTCCGGTGGAGCTCTACCAGAGTGGGAGTCGCTAGTGACCTGGGACCACTAAGTGATGTGGCATTCTGGACCGGAAAAATGACATTAGCAAACAAAGTGGTAAAATGGAAATAAGGTCTGCAAATCAGCTAGTGGGATTGTACCGTTGTTCATTTCCTGATGACGGTAATTACGCCGTGGTTACCCAGGATGCTCCTACTGGGGAAGCGGGCAGGAGCAGGTATGGGACTTTCCCATACTATTGTGTGAGTGTGAATACATGCTACAGTGCATAAAAATTATTTCAAAGTCAAACATTAAGAATGCAAAAGAGAAAGGTTAATTATGACGCAGTCGCTTGGCTCACTGGGCAGCGCCAGGACGTTCACAGGCTCTGCGGCAGGGTCTAGGAAGGGGCGGGAGGTCAGCGTCCACAGCGGGTGTGGGGAGGGACCCAGGCCCACCTGGTCGATGGAGTCCCACATGTACAGTTCACCCTGTTGCTTGTGCTCATCTTTCTTGTCCTCCACGTTCACATCGACATCACCTCGGGGGCCCAGCTTCTTATGCTAAGAAAAAATGTGCACATGGCCTCCCTTGAAACCAGGTTTCAGGGTCTTCAAGCCAGCAAGAGTGCATGCACATCCACCAGCCCACAACGTCCATCTGCGCTTCATACCTCAGCCCCTTGCACTGTCCCGCCCTTTGTGGGCTCTGGCCCTGGGTCCCCTCCTCGGAGGAGGAGGAGGAGTTCCCCCAGCCCTCCCTGCAACAGCCCAGCTCACTTCCGGCCCAGCTGCTCTCTGCCTCCTCCCACCCTGCTTTCCCTATCTCTGTGTCTTCTGTCTTCTCTGCTAGGAAGGAAGGCACTTTGCCTTTCTCCTGTTGAGTGGCTGTGCCAGGGCAGCGCCTAGCAGACAGTGAGTGCTCAGCAAGTAGGACGCAGGCCGGGCAGACACATGGGGCTCAGCACAGCAGCCTGCTCTGCCCTGAGCTGTGTGACCCTGGGCAGGCACTGCGCTTTCTGAGCCTCACACGCCTCACCTGCACAAGCAAGGCAGTGATGACAACGCTCACCCAGGTGAGAGCTGACGTTGCCTCAGCTAGCACTGACGAGCTGGGGTCACGGAGCGCTAGGGAAGGAACTCGGGCTTGGGAGTGGGACCTGGGCTCCAATTCAGAGCCGAGGGACAGTCTGAGTCTCAGTAACCTATCATGTGAAGAGGGGAAATGACAGCCCCCACCGCAGCCCGTGAACCAGGGTGTGAAAAGTAAGGGCAAAGAGGGCAACAGGCCCCCTACGTCCTGTCGGGCATGGCCCCGTGGCACACGCAGGGGACACAGTCCTCAGAGGCAGACACCGTGACCTCAGCTGAGCTGTTTGACCTCCGACCCTCAGCGTCCACATCTGGGAAGTGGCCTGGGGTGCGGTGGGGCTGTCGTCTTGCAGTCTGAGGACACTGACATTCACACCTATGCCTGTCCAGTGCGTGTGCAGCACACGGTGACTCTGACACCTGCCAATGCCACCCTCTGCTGGAATGGAAACGGGAGTTGCAGGGGACCAGGAATGGGGCACCAGGAGCTCTAACGGGGCCTCAGGACTTCACACCTCTGAGTGAGAGCGGAAGAAGCACCGGGAATGTACTCAGGGCACTGCTAACTGAAACGGGAAGCCGAGGATGAGCTGGAAATGGGAGCAGATGCCGCCAGGCACACCCTGAAGCCCCACGGTCCTGAGGCCTGAGCAACCCAGGCACCCTTGGCTGAGCTCCTGCCCCACCCTGCCCTCACCTTGCAGGGAGTGTCCATGCCCCTCCTGGGCACCTGCCCCAGGAGCTGGGCACCTTGCCCAAACTCTCCCGGCCCTGATGCCCTCATCGACCGGGCACCAACTCCCCTCCCCTGTGGGCTGCTCCAGAGGCCCCTGCTGTTGTCTGCTGTTTCCATGGTGATGTTGCCCCATGAGCCCATGACCTCCTGGATCACGGCCATTTGCCAGTGGATCCTGGTAGTCTAATGACAGGGCATGGGCCATGTGTTGTCGCCACCACAGCCTCATGTATGTTATTTCCCCCCACCTGGACGGGGACCCCCTGCTCTGCCTGGTCCTGTTGTCGGCATGACTGTGTCCCCTCAGAGTCACACGGTGCAGTCTCCTCCCGGGGACGGTGTTAGGGTGGGGCCTTCAGGGAGGTGAGGAGGTCGGGGTGCAGACCTCATGAGTGGGGTTAGTGCCCTCTGCAGAGAGGCCCCAGAGAGCCCCATCACCCCTGCCACCACATGAGGACACAGCGAGGGGGTGGCAGTCTGCAACCCAGAAGAGGCCCTCGGACTGGCCTGGACCTTTCCAGCCTCCGGAGAAGTGAGGGATCAGCTGGTGGATGAGCCGCGTGGCTTTTGTTACGGCACCCGGACAGGTGCGAAGGTGACTAAGACACAGCTGTACGGACCTGCTCATCCTCCCCTACGAGCTTGCCAGCTGTCCACTGAGGCCACGTGAGGGGTCCTTCCCCGACTAGCAGTGCCTTCATACTTCAGACTCCACGGTAGGTCCTGTGACCGAGTTCTCATGACAGACCACAGATGGGACATGGACAGCTGATGTCCACTTGCTTACCAGACATGATCAGTGCTAGACACCCCAGGAACCCCACTCAGAGGTGCCCGAGGCCCAGCTTCACCCCAGACGAGGACAGTGCCCTCAAGCAGACAGTCCTCACCATTCTGTGCTCTGAAATCTGGGGACAGCACGCACCCCTTCTCAGAAGGTCAGCAATGCATAGGGTGGGGGAAGTCAATTATATTGAAATACGATTATGAAGACATTAAATAAAATAATTGCGATATGCTAATCAACATGCTTCCTCATTAACATCTTAAGTGAGATTCAGAGGCAGATCTAATAACCTCATAATTCACAAGTACTGACGAGCACGGTGTTATTTTGAGACATCTGCAACAACTGTAAATGTGATATGAAAATATCCCCAACTTCTGCTGACAAGGCCCTCGTGGCTTGCTGCCAACATGCATAATGGAAGGAAATGTTAAGTTTTACACACAGCTTAATGAAGATAAGATGCAAGCCTTTTCCCACTGAAGTTCACATCCTCTCCCTGCCAAACTATAACCACCAGTTCTTTGGGGTCTATGGGATCCCAGTCAAAACCCCTGCCTTGGGAGAAGATACAGCAGGACATGAGGACCCAGGGCCCTGAATTACCTATAGGCCAGAGCTCAAACTCCAAGAATATTTGCCTTCCTGTCAGGAAGAAATAAACTCACACCTGCTGGAAGTCACTGTGGTCTGATCTTTTCATCCTGATAATACAAGTTCCCAGTTGTTCCCTTGGCTTCCCTGGGCCCTGATACAATCAGGTATCTCCCCCATAGCTCAGGGACGCCAGCCCCACCATTACTGTCCTTGGCCCTTCCTTCCAACTGTCTACCTCCCACACCAACCAGGGAGCCAAAGACAAAGCGGTGCCTGGCCACCCGCACACCACCAACCCCTGCCTGAGGCTGACTCAGCAAAGGGTATGGGGAGAGTTTGACCAAAACCAGTGAACAGTCATGAGTTAGTACTTCCGGAGCCCCTGGCCTGGATGGCCGAGTGTGGGACGCATCCCCCTTGGGCCATGCTCCCAGGAAGAGGGGGAGGTGGGCTCTAGACATGTTGGAATTGAGCAATACAGTGAGTGCTTATATTTAATGAAATTATTACACCAAAGACACATGGCCAGTTAACCCCCTCAAAGTACCCCACACACACATCACACACACTCATCCCATCACTCTTGCCACTTTCTGAAGCAGTTCTGGAAGTATTCTTTTGTGAGGGTCTTTAGTTGAGCTGTTGTGGCTGCCCTGATGTCCTGAATCCATTCAAAATGTTTCTCTTCCACGGTCATTTTGACTTTGGGGAAGAGCCAGAAGTCACATGGTGCCAGACCCAGTAAGGAAGGTGGATAAGGATGCACCATGGTTTTACCAGCCTGCCTTTCCATTGGATGGCACTTGGCAGCAGCATTCACCATATTTTTGAGCACATCTCATAAAAACACTCACAAAAGTGGACTTCCAGAACTGTTAGAAAGTGGCAAGAATGATGGGATAAGTGTGTTCAAAGCAAGAGAGAGTATTTTGAGGAGGACTAATGGCAATGTGTCTTTTACTGTAATTTTTAAAAATGTAAATATTCACTGTATATTTCCATCACACCTTGTATTATCCTCCTGAGACCAGAGAGGACACAGAGGCTCTGAAAGGCCCATGACCTTGCCCAAGGTGCCGGCATCAGTGAGGAAGCAGGACTGGAGCTGGGCCCTGGGCTCTCAGGGGATGACAGCAGCCCTGCTGTCCTACCTTGATGATGATCTTCTCCCGCAGCTGGCTGGGCGAGGGCAGCTGGTCGGCGCTGGCCTCCGTGGGCTTGGTCAGCAGCAGCTCGCCGAGCACCTCCTTGAACACCCTGGCCATGTGCCGCTGCTGCTCCACACTGCAGTGCTCCTCGATGGACAGGATCACGGGGAAGCTGCAGCGGCAGGGCGGGTCGGCTGGGGTCGGCCAGGCGCTGTCCCCGTGCCCTGCCTGACTGCAAATGCCTGAGCCACGCCACAGCCCAGGGTGGGGGTTTCCCATCTGTCCAGGGAGGGGCACGTGCCCCAGGACTCAGCTTCCAAGTAACAGGGGCTCTCCCATCACCAGAGGGCTCTGCAGCACCCCAAGACATGTCTCGCCCATGCGCAAACTCCACAGCAATTCCCCTCAGTGCCATGCTCTTAATCCACTCATGTCTTTAAACTGACAAAGAAAAAGACCTTAAGTTTTTTAAGTATCAAACCCTATGGAAAAGGCAAAAACCTGCATGATAAGCATTCATGTATGCATCACCGAGAGCCACCGACATTAGCATCTTCCCATGTGCATCTACTAATTTTAATATAAGCCTATTTATTATTTCCTCTTTTCATAAAGTGTATCAGTTTTCCACATTCAGGTATCACACTTACACGTACTTTGTATATGCATGTGTGTACATTTATTCATCATTTATATACATGTATAAGTGTGTATTTACATACTGCACGTGTGTACTGGTGAGGCATGGTGCATGTCTGCACATACAGTTGGTCCTCGTTATCCGTGGAGTTAGGGTCCAGCAGTTGCCCACTACTCTGATTAGCAAGCGCCTGAGCCATTGCCCCTAAGGGGAAATGCAGGGTTAGGGTCTTTTGAGCCTCTGCTCACAACATTTTTGCCACCCGATCAACACAAGACCCGGTTTGGTGTGTGCTTCTGCTGAAAGACATCTTCTTTAGTACACTTTGTGGGTTTGCTAACATGGAACTGGCAGTCCCAGAGCTGTAATTCATGTGTGAAGGAAGCTAACCTAACATGCTTCCTCCATCAGGCACAGCACTGGCTTCCTGTCCTCGCGGATGCAGGACAGCACCCCATGCTGCGTTTGGAGGTATTTTAAAAGGTGAAATCACCAACAAAAGTACAAAAATATGAAAAATGTAGTGAGAGAGATGACCCAAAGGATACTCATTTGCTCTACGAGAACTGAAGCAAGAAGACAAAGCAGAGCCCTGTCTGACCTCAGCAGGGCCCGAGCATATTGGGTGACAAGTATTCTGCTTTGCACACGTCCGCGGGTGGCCTCAAAACTGCTCTGCAATTTGATTTGGAGTTACAAATAAATCTCAGTGAATAGGGGAATTTACAAATACGGAATGCACCAATCAGAACTGACTCTGTGTGTGTGTGTATGTGTGTGTGTGTGTGAGATCACTGGAATACACACGCAGGTATATGTTTATTACCTCTCCTAAAACACTGCATATACTTTTGTGCATGCATGCATATACATACTGGCCAGTGTATTTACATTTTTCTGGTACCATTTTAAAGGATTTGGTGACATCTCCACACACATCCTAAGAACAAGACCATTCCCCTGTGTGACCTCACCACCACCATTATCAAACCTCAAAAGTTTTTCATAATCCAGTGTCACTGAATACATAGTCCCAACTCAGATTTCCCCAATTACCAAAGAAACATGACACCAAGTGATCTTTTCCCATTTAGAATCCACTTGAGGTTCGTGTAATGCATTTATTATGAAGCAAAATTACTTTAAATGCATCTTATGTCACCACCACAAAGAGGAAACAACATCAGCAGGTGGGAGTGTAAGTAAATATGAAAAAATATAATGTTTAAAATAAAATTACTCAGCCTCACTTTGTCTCAAGACTATCTTGGGCCTGAGCAGAACTGGGAGGTGTTGACCCGACCCAAGCAAGTCCCTGTCCTGGTCTGCATGCCCCAGAGAACCCAGCAGCTAATGCTGCCAGGAGGTTCAGTGCCAAAACTCAACTGGCAGCTGAAGCAGAACTGAATATTGCTGCTTATAATCTTGTTAAACTTAATGTAAATATTCATCCATCTCACTGCAAAAATATTAAATATTTGATTAGGGGTTCCATGCCCATAAGTGCTGGATGATTCAAGACCCCTTTCAACCAGGAAAAGTTCCTCTAGCTGGGAACAGGACTAGGTCCTCTAAAAAGGGTCTGCTCACAAGCACCTGCATCCACAGACACCAGAGCAAACTGAGACAGAAGTCGGCCATGGTTGGGTGCTGACTGCCCCAAAGGCCTGGATGTTGAAGGCTTGGTCCCCAGGGTGGTGCTGTCGGGAGGAGGTGAGACCTTCAGGAAGTGCCTGCCTAGGGGAGGTCCAAAGGCCACTGAGGGTGTGCCCATGAGGGAACAGTGGGCTCCGGCCCCTTCCTCCTCTTGCTCCCTGGCTCATGGTGTAAGTGGTTTTGCTCCACCACGATGTAGGCTCCAAACAAAGGGGTCCATCAGTCACAGTCTAAAACCTCCAACACTGCAAGCCACAATGAAAATCTTCCCTGCGTAAGTTAATCGTCTCAGGTATTTTGTTATAGTGACAGAACGCTGACAACACCTGAGCACCAATTTCACCATGTGTTAACAACAGCCCTTCAGCACTTGAACACCTGGTGGAGTCAGCTACCCAGGCAGGATGTGGGAATGGAGGCCTGGGGGAGCCACTTAATGGCTTCCCGCCATGAGGGAAACAAAGTTCACACATTCACAGTCTCAGTGTGACACCTCCCCCCAGCTGAAGGAATGTCTGTAATGAGCACACTAAAAATAATGATCTTAGGTACTCCACACTCACCATCTACCAGGCGAAGTGCTGAGCACTCAGAAAAGTCATCCCAATTAGATGTCACAACAGCACTGGTAATTAACAGAGAGAGAGAGGGATCCCAGAACCCATTCTGCTAGGCACTACCAGGAGCACTTAAGAGGCCACTGTTACTCCACAGAGGCAATAGAGAGCCTCCTGCCAGCCCTTGGCAATGACTGTGGCTAAGATGGAGCACAGGGCTCTAGTGTTTGGGGAAGTGGCAGTGACTGTCTGTTGAACCCCGGCTGTGCGTTTGTCTGTCCAACTCTGGTTACTCTCCCTTAATGGCAAACCACCCAGAAATCAGCTGACTGAGCTCGAGGTAACAAAAGCGTGGTCTCTGATGGCCTGCACAACATCATCAAACTTGATCTTGGTGGTCCATGTCCAGCCATGGTAGATGATGGGCTTCTTGTCAGGGCCGTCCCAGCAGTCCACTAGAGAAAACAGCAGCCTCAGCCCCGCCACGCTGGCCATGGGGCAAGACAATAAATAAACAAGCCCACAGCTGCCCACCAGGGCCTCAGCAGAAGCAGAGATGGGCTTGTATTGTGCCATCGGGACCTGAAGTTGGCACAGAAAGGCACTGACTTGGTTTCTTTTCTCGTTACTGTGACCAAATGCCTGACACTCACTAGTTAAAGGAAGAAATTTGGAAGTTATTTGGCTCACAGTCTGTAGAGGTTTCAGTCCTCAGTTGACTGGCTCCAAGGCAGGGCGGCATGGCAGAGGGTGTCATGGAGAAGAAACAGCTCATGGTGTGGAGTGCAGAAGGCAGAAGGCAGCAAGCAGCAGCAGCAGAAGCAGCAAATAGCAACCCTGCCTTTCCTCTGTCCTTTTATGTTCCAACCGGGCTACACGCTTTTTGGTTGGTCCCACTCAGAACTATGCTATTCTAATCAGTGGACGAATTTAGTATCTCACACCTTAATTCATCATCACACTCTTAATCCACATTCACACCCTAGATCCAGCCACCTCCAAAAGCCCCACCTATGAGTACATGAGGCTTTGGGGGGACATCTAGACACAAGCCATACCAGGCACCCAACAACCACAGGTGGGATATATTACACTGTGAATGCTGTCCACCAAACTGCCATAAAATACTTGTGTTTCTGCACTTGCCTCCACCCATTGCCCCCTCTATAAGTGTCAGGTTCCTTAAGCATCTCCGAGGTTGGGCAGAATCCACCATCTTAAGACACAAACTCTTGAAAGAATGGACGTGGTGAGGAAGAGAGAACCGTGAAATCAATTTGCCCCTGAAAGAGTCTACCTGTCCAGATCCCTGAGGACGCATGCGCAAGGGCCTTCCCCCAGGCCTGCCTGTGAGGACACTGGGAGAGCACCACCCACAGCCTGCTCACCAAGGACTCATCCTCCCTGCCCTATAAGGCAGGCTAAATATCGGAACCTGAGTGCACCGTCCTTCCTCCCCTCCAGTCTACCCTCTTTCTTGCAATCACTGTAATCACCTACACAGTCAACTTGAGTGTGGTGCTCCCTGGTTGAACACAGTCACAATGGGGCCATGCTTTGCATGTCTCACTGCCAGGTGACTTGAACCACCAGTGGAACATGCACTACTGTACCACTTCCACCACGAGCAGTACAAGCTGCCTGATGTGACAGTCATGCACATACCATCACTGGTTCAAGCCCATAGGAATATGTTAAAAGCTGACAGTGGCTCCTCATTGCCCTGTGACATATAAGCTCCCACCCAAGCTGGCTATGCAGCCAACTCTTTTTTTGTGCTGCCCTCCAGCCTTATAGACACCCCCCTTGGCTGCCCCTACCCCAGGACCTTTGCACCATTGCTCCTCTCTCTGAAACTCTCCTCCCTCTCCACTTCACGCCATTCTCCTGCCACCAGCTCCTCCTATCAGACACCCAGTAGAGCCTTGTTCACTGCTACACCCCCAGCAGACACATCATAAGCCTCAGTTCCACAGCTACTTGCATTGCTTTGCTGTGGCCCCTGTGAGATGCCCACCTCTGAAGGAGCAGGCAGGCTGACTTTCTTTTTAGGGCCACAGACAAGGGACTTTTATTCCACCACTTCCTGGGAGAGGAGGCTATGTCCCCACCCCCTCCAGAAGCTTCTGTGTCCCCCAGTGTGGAGGAAGTGGTTCACACTGCACCCTTCATGACAGGCCTTGCCAGGCACCACCGTGGGGCACCAGCTGCATCACCCTTGATGCCACCCAACCCACCCCAGGCTCTCGGTAGAACTCACGTGTTGTGGGACGAAGAGATCCAGTAATGGGACAAGGGGTTGTTCATGTCCTGCATGTCCACCACATCGTGCTTCCCATCCCAGATGCTGTTTTCTCGGGAAAACAGGTACATGAGGAACTGCAAGAGTCACAGATGGGACTGTGGTGGTGATGGCAGCGACGTCTGCTCCAAGCCACATGGGAGAGGGCAGCATGAGAAACCCAGAGGTGGCCACCTGACCTCGGTGACCCAGGATTTCAGGGTGGCTCAGACCACCATAGGCCTCAATGACACATGTTTCAGGGACCTGGACAATCCTTTCCTTTCCTAATGTTTATCCCAAAATATCTGATTCTGCAAGGTATCCGCTTCCTGTACAGCAGTTTTAGTCATAACGCTAACATTGGCATTTGTGGATCCACCACCCGATGGAAGAAACCGAGCATCACCCAGGGCACAGCATCAAAGGGCTGGAAGTTTCCCACCCCAACTTCGAGCCCCTTTGCACAAAAATGAGGGCTGGGGATTTAGCTCAGTGGTGCCGCCACCTGCCTCGCAAGCTCAAGGTCCCGAGTTCAATCCCCGGTACCAAAAACAAAAAAAAGAGAAGCCGGAGTGACCTGGGGCCAAGTATTGCTGACTGGGCACAATCTCCTGGGGCGGGGGTCCCCACTTCTCTCCATCCCGCTGCCTACCCAAGGTCCAGTGCAGACATTTCCCCCACCCTTGGGCACCCAGGAACCTGCATTTTCTGTGTAAAGGCTCCACTCTCCATGGTGGCAGACGCCCTCTAGTGGCCAAATCTAGAACCCCAGAAACGTGGAAAAAAGAGGAGAAAGGGCCCAGCTGGGAAAAGCCAAGACCTGGAAAAAGCACCCCTGATGGAGTTGGTCAAGGGGCTCTGACAGCAACGCCCTCCAAGGGAGGAGCCAGAAATAAACCTCGGAAGACACAGGCTTCAGAGAGCCCAGCACTCACCTCGTCCACAAACAAGAAGGGCTCAGCGGTCTCCCTCATGGTGTAGTCAATAAACTTTGTCATCTGCTCCCGGACTTTGTTTACATCCTGAGCCCAAAGCTCCTGCAAATGACAAAGAGAACAAGAAATCACCAAAAAGAGAACAGACCCAATTCCTCATCTCTCAGGGTCCATCCAGCTGCAATCAAAGAACAAACCATCAGCCAGTTCTGAATTCAGTGGCCAACAAGTGTCACATACAAAGGCCTCATCCTGGACATGGCCTGTGCAGGTGTCAGCAAATGTTTCCTGCAGAGGACCAGAGAGTGAGTATCTCAAGGAACCTGTGCAACCACACATCCCTGCAGGGCGGAGCCAAGGCTGCCACAGCCAAGACATGGGCTGAGTTCCAATAAAACTTTATTTACGAACACAAGTGGCCGCACTGGGCTGTGGCTATGGTTTACCAACTCCTACCCTACACCAGCTCATGACATCTGTATGAAGCACTAGGGAGGACAGTGGTTACGCCGGCCTGTCAGGGTCACTTGCTTGGCCTCTATTCTCACCAAGGGCGCCCCTGTCAAGTTACATGACTTCTTTGGGCCGCCTCAGCCTTGAAACAGGACTAAAAGCATTTACTGCACAAGGCCTCTGCAGGGGGCTATGTGAAATAAGCCCATGTGCTTAACTCAGAGCCTGGTACACACACAGCTCCCAAATTATTATAGACAGCTAAGTTAGGTAGAAATATTCTAGGCAGTCAGACAGGGCTGGGCCCTCCAAGGAGTCAGTGCAGAGGATGAGAACACATCACAACTGTGGCTGCAGCTGCATCTGTCAAAGGCAAGGCCTCAAGATAAAGCCAGAATGACAAGCATTCATACCTCCCCAGGGGATAAGATAATCAGAATCACCTGGTCCAATAAAGTCTAGACACACATCAGTTACCTGGGTGGGTGACCAGGACCTGGTGTTCTTATTCTTGCTAAAAATGTCTTTGCTCTCTCCATGTACACTTGCTACATGTCCTGCTTCCCCAGTGGATCAACATTACCTGAACAGCTAAATCTTATTGGTTGATCATAGTTTTGACCCACATTGTGCCCACCTCGTGATTTTGCTATAGAACTTCCTTTGAGAAGTGAGCTTGTTGGCAACCCACTTTCAGATCCCCTCCCGCCCTCAGAAGCTATCTCTTTCAATGAATTTTTCCTACTCTTCACCTCAATTGTTCCTTAGAAGTCATTCTTCAATTTGGGGGAACACGAACTCGGGGTATCTGACACCTAGCCGGTCGGGAGTTACATATTATTTCCCCTGTATCACTCCCATCTCATCCGCCCAGAGTGCTGCGATCACAGGCGTGGGCCACCGTGCTGGGTCGAAGGGCAGCCACTCAATCAAAGTGCACACACGTTTTCTTAAAGTTTTCCTTTTAACCACATAGAGCCAGAGTGCTTTCTAGAAAAGTACTAATCTGCAGAATGGTGCTGCGATGGCCGTTCCCAGGAGCACCCGCCACCCCAAAGGGCACAGAGACGCTCACTCAGGGGCTGCCCTGGGCTTTTCTGGGCCCCCTGACCTGGCTGCCCAGTTTGGTGGGCTGCGATTCTCTCTGGAATAAAGTTCCTCACCACGAGGTGGCGCCAAACCCGCACCTCAGGCCCGCCTGCAGGCGGCGCGCTCCTTTCCTGAACAAGGCTGCTCCTTTCCGGGAACCGCAGCCTGCGCGCGACGCCCACCCAGGGCCGCAGAGAGGTCAGCCCTGTCATCTAAGCGCCTGCGCTGGCCTCGGGTTCACTCGGGACCCACGCAGGGACGCGGGCGCCTCACTCAGCGCGAGGGCGCACGGGAGGCAGCGCACGCACGGTGCCAGCGGCTCCGAGCCTGGCCGGGCCCTGCGCGCATCGAGGCCGGTCACGGGTGGGTGCACAGGAGCGTGTGCGGGTGGACAGGTGAGGCCCCACCCGGGGGACTGCGCGTCACAGACTGAAGGGGGCCAGCCTGGGTTTCCTTAGGGTTCCCCAGCAAAGGAAGGGAGCGGGGAGACAGGCGGGCGCAGTCAGACTGCGACATCGGATTCCCACATCGGGAGGCTGACGATCCCTGCCTGTCCACTTTCGTGTGTGCGTGAAATGTCCGGCAACACAGTTTCTTTTTTAAAGTAAATCAACTTAATTTTGCTGCAAACTAAAAGTTCTTAAAATATAAAGCCTTTTTTTTCTAGGTTGCCCGGCCTGGGCTCAAACTTGCAGTGCCCCTGCCTCAGCCTCATGGAGTGCTGGAATTATAGGCATGTACCACCACACCTGGCTTAGTCTTTTGAGACAAAAATGTAATAAATGAGACACCAATGATATAAAGAAGAATTTTAAATACAAGAGAGTCTCTACATACGCACAGTCGCGCACTGCAGTCTTCTCCAATCCCCGCAGTTCTGAGAGATGGGGGCTCTCGTCACATTTCACAGGAGGAAACCAGGCTCAGAAAGGTTAAGCTACCTGCCCAAGGCCACACAGCAGGTAAAAGGCTGCCCGGTTTCCATTGGTGCAACACTGCTCCTCATCTGGGACCCCTCACTGCCAGAGTCTCTTTCCTGTCTTGCCACCAGGCACAGACGTGAACTCGAGCCAGCAGACTGACTGCATCCCAGCTCCAGGTTCCCAACTGAGTGACCCTGGAGTCATATTCCACATCTGCCCCAGCCTCAGCTCCCTCACCTGTACAATGGGGCCATATCATGCTGTTATGTGATTGATTGAAATCTCAGGTGCAAAGCCCACAGAGAGAACGAGGAAATGAGAGGAGGTCAGCAACAATCATAGGCGGTCAGGGCTGTTGTAAGGCCTGTAAGATGGGAGTAAGACAGGCTGGCTCAAAGTTGTTCTCGAGGGTGCCGATCAGTGCAAAAGGAGCCACTTCCAGGATGGAGCTAAGGAAGAGAGCAGACAAATGATGGCCATATCATCAGGGAGGCCAGCAGCTGCTTACCCCCTCGCCAGTGCCCTCTCTGAGTTTCACTGCATCCTGCAAAAGAGAAATGTAGCCAGGCGCGATGGCACAGGCCTTTAATCCCAGCAGGGGCTGTCACGTCAGTAATGGTTGGCAGCTATGGCTGAGCCCAACAGCCCTTAATGCCCAGCAAGTCCCTTGTGCTTCCTCCCTCTCCGTCTCCCCCATGCTGTATAAACCTCCCTATTTATATTTGGACCTTCTGAGAGTAAGTAGCAGACCTGGGGGGCCCCAAGGACAAGTCTCCTCTGCCAGGCTTCCCGGGTCTGTGGCATGTGAGCGCTCCGGTGTGGCCAGAGTGGGCACTGGGGGACTCTTGTCCCCTGTGGGAGGAAGGTGGATATCAGCCTGTCTGCATCAGGGAGTGGGTGGGCCATTGGTGCCTTTTCTGCATGGGTTCAAGGTTGCTGGGACGCTGGGATGAGGCACAGGAGGAATTAAGGGGGTTCATGCACCCTTGGGCAGGAGGGAATTTGCGTGACACAAGGGACACAGTCACTTTTGGAACTTGGTTATGTCTGGCCTGAGGCAGTATCCAGCGTGCACACACCTCTGTCCCCTGTGGCATCGCTGGGAGCAGGAATGTTTCAGAGCTCCCAGCCTGGGACAGGCACCCAGTCATTTACTTTGGAAAAGCCTTGCCACCATTGCTGCTCAGCTGTCCACTGATGACGGGGTCAGCTGCACAGGCATCACCACCTCGAACAGTAATGTCCCCGCTGGTCCCAGAAACCCTGGTCATCTGTATGTGGCCACAAAACAAGAGAGAAGATATCAGCTACGGCAGAAGTGTGACTCATCAGCATCACAGCAGAGAAGAAGTGCCGGCCACCAAGAGGGGACACAGCTCAGTGCTGGGGAGATGACCACATAGACACCACCACACCCTGGCCACCCGCTCCCCAAGTCTCCTGTGCTGCCGTGGGGTGGGGCTGAGGGAAGAGATGGGGTCAGGGACAAACAGCAGCAGGAACTGTGCGACAGGAAACATGAAATTGCCAGCAGTTGACCACATCTCGCCTATGAAAGGGACAGTTTTATACGGTTCCTCCTAATATGTGCATATCTATGTCCTAAAGGAGAAAATTTAGAATCCTTGTGATGCCTTTAAGAGGTACAGATTTCAGCCCTTTTCGGGGTGAGAAGCTGAGGCCCGGACAGGGTGTGCAGTGCGTGAAGATTCACACTCCAGTCCCTCTGTCCTTGGCAGTAAGGACACCCGAGTCTCTCTGAACAGACTCAAGGCACCATTTGCTCCCTGCATGAGCATATTTTGCAGTGACATTTGCTGAAGAGTGTGCTA